CACCCATTACAAGGCCCGGAGACCACTCGAGGTAGAAGGTTACGTTTGGAGGCCGTTTGTGTGTAAGAGTGGAAGATAACGAGTAACCCTAGGACAGGTTAAGATTGTAGGGATTGAGGAAACATCCTGTTGAAAGTTGGTCCCACAGGGCAGTAGTTCGCGGTAAAAAGCTGTTCAAATACGAAGGGAATGTGAGTGGTTTGCTACTATGTAAGTGGCATGGCGTGTTCTTGCTGTGAATGTGTGAATTGGCGGGACCAGGGAATATAGTAAATCAGAGCACTTTTCTTGGCGTGAATTAGTATTTGCGATAAGTAACTTTACAATTTTGGGGGTTGAATTAACAGAAGATATACACATTTTGTTAAATATTTCAAAATACCTTTTCTTTTAGCTCTTTTTAAAACGCGCTTTTCTCCAAAAGTTGCAATATTTACATCAATAATTTTGTTTATTATCATTACTATTTAGAATTATCTACCTTTATTTTAGGTTTGACTTGCGTATAGGGGATGAATTTGCCTTGTAAACTGAACCGCCTCTTAAAAGTCCAAAAATAAAAATGGTATTCGTTATCTGGAGAGATTAATAATAATAAGAGAAATATTTAAAAAGAAAACACCAATGTAATGAGCAGAATACATAGCATTACTTAAGAAATTCGGTTCTAAGAAATGGTCTTACCTATTGACTTCGTTTACTCCACGGTACCAATATCCGTTTAAACGTCATAAAGCCACAACAATTGGATGACGTCATTACAGAAAAAAAAAGTCATAGCAGCGCTGTAAATTTTCTTTTATCTGTTACCAAAAGAAATAACTAACCTATTGTATACTTTTGGTATCGGCTAAAGTTATGCCTTAGAAGAGTTCATTACCAAATTCGGGGCTGAGCAGGAATCAGATTATTTTACAGTGATCTTTTTGGGAAGTGGGGCAGTTGTTGTATTTGACAATCTATTTATTTATTTATTTTTACTTCAGATCGAACATCGCAGCAATTATTAATATCGTTGCTGTTGTAATTGTTGTTTTTACTACTACTACTACTACTACTACGATTATTATTATTACTACTACTACTAATACTACTATTACTTGCTAAACATATGTTAAAACATAGGCAGGCGATGAAAAGTGGGTGGGGCACCTCGATATAGGTTAATGGTTAGCGAGGCTAGATTGGTTGACCATGACTAGTGAGTTTGATTCTCACTGGGTGACCCATAAAAATCGGCTTTAAAAAACACAATAAGGGTTAACACGTGGCAAAATCATCCAACATTAAAAGAAGATTATATTGCGTCAATATTCTTAATCACTATTAAGCCATTACATTTGCAGAGATTTTTTTAAAATTTTTTATTTTCAAAATAATGCCGTAAAGAAGGACATTGTCTTCGTCTCGTAACACGGCTTCAAATTAACAAAGATATTGGGACAGTTTTATGAAAGAGGAAATATTCCCACAGTTACATAACAATTCTTATGTCTAGTTTATAATTTTTCATCGGTTTAGTGTATTACATTTATTGTTTAATGTATAACAACTGTTATATTTAGTGTATAACATTTATGATTAGTATATAAATGTTCTTTTGTTTAGTGTATAAAATTTGTTTTGTGTATAACAATTGTTCTGTTTAATGCATAAATTTGCTATGCTTAGTGTATAACATTTGATTTATTTAATGTATAAACTTTTATGTATTTAGTGTATAAATTTTGTTATCTTCATTGTATAAAAACTGTTATATCTTCTGTATAGCAATTGTTATATTTAGAACATAAAATGCATTTTGTTAAGTGTATAAATTTTGATATGTTTATGGTATAAATTTTGATATGTTTATGGTATAAATTTTGATATATTTATGGTATAAATTTTGATATATTTATGGTATAAATTTTGATATATTTATGGTATAAATTTTGATATGTTTATGGTATAAATTTTGATATATTTATGGTATAAATTTTGATATGTTTATGGTATAAATTTTGATATGTTTAGTGTATAAATATTGATAATTTTATTGTATAAATTTTCATACGTTTAATGTATAAATTTTGCTTTATTTAGCGTATAAACCTTCATATATTTAGTGTATACATTTTGTTAACTTCATTGCATAAAAAATGTTATGTCTTCTGTATAGCAATTTCTATATTTAGTGCATAAAATGTATTTTGTTTAGTGTATAAACATTGATATGTTTAGTGTATAAAATTTGCTACGCTTTGTGTATAACAATTGTTATGTTTAGTGTATAGATTTTGATATGTTTATTGTATAAATTTTCATAAGGTTAGTATATAAAATTTGTTTTATTTAGTGTATAATCTTGCATATATTTAGTATAAATTTTGTTATCGTTATAGTATAACTTATGTTTTCTGTATAACAATTGTTATATTTAGTGCATAAAATGTATTTTGTTTAGTGTATAAACTTTAATATGTTTAGTGTATAAAATTTGTTATGCTTTATGTATAACAGTTGTTATGTTTAGTGTATAAATTGTCATATGTTTAGTGTATAAATTGTCATATGTTTAGTGTATAAATTGTCATATGTTTAGTGTATAAAATTTAAGTTTAATTTATAACTGTTTATATGATTAGTTGCTATATTTGTAAAGAAAAAAGAAATAAAAGATAAACTTAGGGGTTCAAGACGGATTTGCAGAAAAAAAAAACCTTCAATTTCTGATAAGAGATTTAAATAAAAAATAATTACTTAAAATATAGCAACGTCTCCGTGTCTTGCTATGACCAGAAAACAAAAATGTCATTGTATGCCAGGGTCTGTTTTATTGATAACAAACTATAAATAATTAGTAAATTAATAAATTATTTTATTTTCAAAAAGATTATCTTTTATTTCGTTTTTTTTTTCATTTTATTTTTTTAGAGATATCTAAAAAAATAAAATGAAAAAAAAACGAAATAAAAGATAATCTTTTTGAAAATAAAATAATTTATTAATTCCAAACTAAGAATCATAAGTTTAAAAAAAGAAAAGAAAAGTAACCTAATTTTCATTTAAAATAGTGTCAGCCTTCGATTTAAAGCTATATAAGAGTAAGTTACGCACGGTGTATCATCACAGATATATCGCGAATTTCAACCATAAATAGAAAAAAAAGTACTTTATTAATTTTCGTGATATGTTGAATTTGAAGAAGAAATTTCTGATAGATTAAAATAATAATAAAAAATTCCAGAAAAAGGGACAATGTCTACCTGTCTTTGTTAGTAGGCCTACCTACTAGGGAAACTACCTATTCCCTGTTGCAGTTGCTTCCTCAAAAACATCTGCGTTTCTTCAACACCCAGAGAGCTTTCCTGTGGTGTATGCTGCAACTATGTTGAGCCAACCTTGCTTACAGTTTCTTGTAGATATTACGAGATCATTATTTGAACAAAGCCAGATTCGCTCAAACCTTTGGTCATGATGACGCCTTTCTCACAGCTGAAACGTCGCAGGCCTCTCGCTGCTCTATTGGTATTTCCAGAGAGAGTGCTCAGACGAACTACGTTCCTTAGTTCAACCAGGTCTAATCTTCACGGTCAAGACCCGTCATGCCACCCCCATTGTAGCGAATCACTCTTTTTTCCCTTCGTATTTCATTAGTAAGGTGTAAGTTCCACTCGAACAAGTTCATCCCACGAACCGCTGTTCTGTGGAACCGACTACCTAGAGGATACTTCCTTGATCATTACAATCTTAACCTGTTCAAGTCTCAGATTAACCATTAGCATTTCAACATATCCTTATGAACTGTGCCTCTTAATCTGTAAACCTATTGGCTCTTGGTCCTTGTAAAGGATGAACAGCATTGTAAAACAAACAAAATATTACGCACACAAATAAAACAAACAAAAAAACATCGGCGCCATCTGAACAGTTACTGCGAAATAGTAGAGATATACTTGACTCCGCATTGAGTCAGTTTTTTTAACGTGGGGACCCGAGTGATTTCCTCTCGGGCCGCTGATATAAGATGATCTTATCTTGCCCAAGCTGGTCAGAGCTCGTCTAAGCCAGACATGGGTCTTAGCTGCTCAGAGCTCGTCTAAGCTAGTCATAGCTGGTCTTATCTGGTCAGAGCTGGTCTAAGCTAGTCATAGCTCGTCTAAGCAGGTCTTAGCTGGTCAGAGCTCGTCTAAGCAGGTCTTAGCTGGTCAGAGCTCGTCTAAGCTAGTCATAGCAGGTCTTAGCTGGTCAGAGATCGTCTAAGCTAGTCATAGCAGGTCTTATCTTGTCAGAGATCGTCTAAGCTAGTCATAGCAGGTCTTATCTGGTCAGAGATCGTCTAAGCTAGTCATAGCAGGTCTTAGCTGGTCAGAGATCGTCTAAGCTAGTCATAGCAGGTCTTAGCTGGTCAGAGCTCTTCTAACTAGCCACAGTAACTAGTCACAGCTGGTCATAGCTTGTCTAATACCTTAACCGTGCCAGGTAAGTATATACAAGGCCGAAAGTATGGAGAACCGATTTAGGTTCGAACTCACTATCCAATTGTAATTGTTCTAGCGAGACAAGCTTGCTAACAATTACACCATGTCGAAGTGCCCACAGTTACTATAAAATACTACAGGGTGATTGAAAAGCAACTCCCTATTTTATGTATGATGAACTCTCCCGTCTAACTATAATTTCTACAAGACGGGAGAGTCCATCATACATAAAATAGGGATTTACTTTTCAATCACCTTGTAGAAGAGTTCCCCACCACCATAAAACTTATTTTCTCGCACAAGGACACACAAGAAGAGTTCATTCTACACAGTATCACCCACATGCTTGGGCAAGCTAAGACAGTGACCGGGGTGGAAAACACTCAGTGTGGGGTCAAGTATATCTCTATTATTTCATAGTAACTGTACAGAAGGCGTCGATGTTCTTTTTTGTTTTTTTTTGGGGGGGGTTTGGGGTTTTTTTGGGTTTTTTTTTTTTTGCATGATTTTTTTTGTTTGTTTTACAATGATGTCCATTACGGCCACATCATGCTGAAACATTGGTTCTCGTACGATCACCAAAGTTAAGCAAAATCGAGCCTGGTCAGTACCTAAATGGGTGACCGCTCGGGAATACCAAATACCACTTGGGAATACCAAATGCTTTAAGCTTGGAATGTGAGGGTGGTATAATGATACTTAAGGAGATATTACGTTGTAACACCGAAGTTAAGCAACGTCGATACTGGTCAGTCCCTATATAGGTGACTGCTTGGCAGTACCAGGTGTTGTAAGCTTGGAATGTGAGGGTGGCATATTGAGCTTATGCAACATCACATTGTATCTCCGGTTTCCGTACGGTAACTACAGTTAAGCAACGTTGAGTCTGGTCAGTACCTAAACGGGAGACCGCTTAGGAATAACAGGTACTATAAGGTTGGATGTGTGGGTGGTGTAATAGATGATGGTTCGGAATTTTTAATCGGAGATTTGAGTTCTATTTCCCGTTGGTTTCGTTATATTCACTTACGCACAGACACCGTTTAGAAAGGTATGAATCCATCTCTTCTCCCCAAACTATGGGTTAATTAGTAAAATTTGTATCACTAAATTATTATTACCTTTCCTCCACACACACACCTAAAATAATTCTTCAAATGTAAAATTATTAAAAAATAAGCACAATGATTGGGTTCAGCTAGTTTTCAAGCATTTTCGAATGCTGGGATATTCTCTTCGACAAATCGACCATGGTGAGATTCGAACCCGGGTCTCATAATGAGAATGCTAATATTCTAACAACTCTTTTACGTACCCGTAATACGGCCAGAAAAATCAAAATTGTTGTGTTCTATTGAAAATTAAAAACTATTATTATTCTTCGATCGCTGTTACATTTCTTGGATGGCATTTGTTTAAAAAAAAAAAAACGAAATAAAAGATAAACTTATTGAAAATTAAAACTTTATTAACTCGATCCTTAGAATGATTAATTTTCAGAAACATTAAAAAAAAACAAAAAAAAAACTAATTTATTACACTGAAGCATTTCAGAGTTACATAAATGCTGTTTGACAGCCGATTTCCACGAATTTCTAATTCATCATCAGAGCTGTCTCAGATGGAAGAAAAAAAAACCTTTCTCCGCCTGCGGCAGAACTGGAAAAACTGTAAAATATCAGTCAATATGCGTTTTTATGGGCAGACGCATCTCCGCGGGTGGCCCAGGCTTTCTGGGAGATGGCTAATTTTATCGAGTCGCCGTCTCTAGAATGGTTGCTAACCTTGGCTATAAAACGGGGTTTTCCTGCTATTTAACCCATGTGTGGGGAGAAGAGATAGATTCATACTTTTTCCAAGAGTATTAGAAACTTTATAATTCGACGGGCAGAATATAATATACTTTGTAATTCGACGGGAAGAATTTCTAGACTTCACAATTATGAAGGCTAGAATTTTTAGATGGACAGAATTTCTAGACGTCATAAGGGAGAATTTCTAGAATCACTTATTCGGTAGACAGAATTTATAGACTTCACTGTACGACAGCCAGAATTTATAGACTTCACTGTACGACAGCCAGAATTTATAGACTTCACTGTACGACAGCCAGAATTTCTAGCCTTCACAATTTGACAGCTAGAATTTCCAGATTTTATAATTCGGCAGCTAGACTTTCTAAACTTCATAATTCGACGGGAAGAATTTCTAGACTTCATAATTCGACGGAAAGAATTTCTAGACTTCATAATTTGACGAGAAGAATTTCTAGACTTCATAATTCGACGGGCAAAATTTCTAGACTTAATAAGATAGTTCCGTTCAAAAATTCCCCGAAAGTTACTGTGTACGGAGACAAACACCCGAAGAAAATCCTTATTGTACTGGTTTGGGTTTAATATGGACTCTATACACATTCCTATGTGTAGAAGCAAAATTACCAAATTCGTAGACGCTATACTGTAAAGGTATCTCGGGAGAATTCGTTTTTTGTTGCGTTATGTGCTATTCTAAAATTGTCATCTGCAGAAGCAAAGCACACCTGCTTCAATTTTAGACCATATTTGTCTCTAATCAAAGAATTTCTAGACTTCATAATTCGACGGGAAGAATTTCTAGACTTCGTCATTCGACGGGAAGAATTTCTAGACTTCGTCATTCGACGGGAAGAATTTCTAGACTTCGTCATTCGATGGGCAGAATTTCTAGACTTCATAGTTCGATGGGCAGAATTTCTAGACTTCGTCATTCGACGGGAAGAATTTCTAGGCTTCGTCATTCGATGGGCAGAATTTTTAGACTTCTTAGTTCGATGGGCAGAATTTCTAGACTTCAAAAATAGCGTAGGAAGAGAAAAGAAATTCTGTCCATCTAAAAATTCTACCCTTCATAATTGTGAAGTCTAGAAATTCTTCCCGTCGAATTATAAATTATATAATATTCTGCCCGTCGAATTATAAAGTTTCTAATACTCTTGGAAAAGTATGAATCCATCTCTTCTCCCCCACATATGGGTTAAATAGCAGGAAAAACTAAATTCTATTGACGCGGTTGGCAAACATTCTAGAGATGGCGACTCGATAAAATGTTTTAGTAACTAGTCTAGAAAAAGGAAAACTCTTTAGTTCAGAACCGGTTAGACGTGGGGATAACCTCACCGCTTCGCAAGACCTGCTTGATACAGAAACCTCGCGTGGTGAAGCTGTGGCCTTAGTATGGTGAGGCTGTGTCCTTATAATCCACAGAGAATCTACAAGTTCGATGACTACCACACTTGTCCGATAACATAGATAAAGCCGTTCTAAATGATGAAAAACTGATGTTTGGGTAAACATTAATTACAACAAATTATAATGTTGGTCACTGGTTTAAGAAATCCTGCACCTACCGTGATATAGGCCTCTTGCGTAATCCTGTAGAAAAGAATTCACTTTTTACTGGTTGAATATATAGCTTTGTCCAAGAAATATCACGTTTTGGTAAAATACCTCCGTATTTTAAGTTTATGAATTAATATTCGATTGTTGTCAGGAAATATATTGAAGTCATTACAATTCCTTTTTGATACTAATATCCTCATCTTTTATTTTTAGATTGGCATTCGAGAGTCTTGTTCTTTTAGCTCTTTAAACACCAGTTTCTTTCACATGAGGTGTTCGTTAAAGAACTGTGTAATCATGGCTCTCCACAACTTCCTGTATTTTGTTACGCTACGTATTTTTTAAGCTATTGCTCTCCTTCATTGTCTCTGTCCTGTGCTTCGTTCATAACGACAATTTTTTTAAAATTCTGATTTCTTTTGGGCAGATTTCATTTCATGAACTCCTTCATTCTCAGGGAATTTCTTCTTCGCGTTATACACTTTTTCCTTTTCTCTCCTTACGTCTTTTCTTTCTTTTTTCATTATTAATTTTCTTTTCTCTTTACTTCTCCTTCTTTTTCATTTTACCATTCTTTTTTTCTTCGTTTTTTCTTTTTCATTATTTTTCTTTTTTAACTCTTATTTTGATTTCGTTTTTTTTTCTCCTTCGTTTTTCTCTTTTTGACTTTTTTTTTTTAACCATTCACTTCTCTTTTTTCTTCTTTTTCATTTCTCTTTTCGTAATCTTTTCTTTCTTATTTTAGTTTCTCATTTATTCTTTTTCATTTTCTCATCTGTCGTAATATTTTTTGAAATTTTTTTTTAAATAATTTTTTTTTAAAATAATTTTAAATCTTTGTTTAAAATAATTTTTGTATAATTTTTCAAATATTTTAAAAAAAAAATTAAACATTTTTAAAAATATTTTTTTTTTTTGTAATTTCTTCATGGTGTATTGTTTCTTCACACATTTTTTTAATTTTCTTTTTCATATGGTATCTTTACTTTCTCTTCTACAGGGAATCCCACAGAAAAACAAGAAATTTGGTAGTTTATTTAATTGCTGGAATTTGTCTCACAGTTACTTGAAACAAAAGCAAAGGAGAGGAATTTAGTAGCTTAAACCAGAACAAAGACACAAATGTTCAGATTATGAACGAATTATTGCAATATTTAAGCAGAAATTTACTAAACTTAACTTCACAAGTATGGGGTCCCCAATGAGAATTGAATACAATAGTTATGGTCAACTAAACTAGATTGCTAAACATTTTCTCACATGCCAAGGGCAAATATTTAATTTTGCAATTGTATCAAAATTCATGTTACCCTGTATTGTATTATGTTCAACTAGAATAATACCCATCAAAAATGAAGAGTTTATTTATATAGTGATTGACAGTTCTATCTACAGTATACCGAATGCTGTTTTCAAATGTTATCTTACAATCTAAAAGAATTTGACCTTATCATTAATAGTAACATATATATATATATATATATATATATATATATATACGCACACAAATATATATATGAATGAAATAGACAAAATCCGACAATTATTTTTTGGATGTTTATACATTCATTTTTATATATTAAATATTTAAGTAAATGCTCTGTTTATAATTAACAACATTTACCGGCCTGAATGTCCGAGAAATTTTCATAGAAAATATGCGTCCTCAGACAAGAATCGAACCTGTATCCTATACGGAACCCTCATATTGCCCGACGTGCCTTAACCGAATGGGGCCACAGAGAAGCGTTCGGTTAGCAAGGTAGATTTTACTGGGTTTTAATCACAATTCTCCATGATTTTCTCTCTTACATTCATATCTGCTCATGGCGTATCTAAATGTAAACAATGACGTCACACATTATGAAATGGACAAAGTCCGACAATTATTTTTTAAGACATTTTTTTTTATGCTAATAAAATCAACGGTTCCGTATAGGATACAGGTTCGATTCCTGTCGGAGGTCACATATTTTCTATGAAAATTTCTCGGACATTCATACCGGTAAATGTTGTTAATACTGTTTATTATAAGCAGAGCATTTACTTATATATTTGTTGTATATATATATATATATATATATATATATATATATATATATATATATATATATATATATATATATATATGGTTCTAAAAAAAAAAAAAAACAGGAAATTTGATACAGCTTATTTAATTGCTGGAATTTTTTGTTATAGTTATTTGAAACAAAAACAAAGGATAGGAATTTAGTAGCTTAAAACAGAACAAAAGCAAAT